TCATGTACTGTATGTATACTTTGATAGAATTAGATATAGATATAATTATAGGCGTGAATATAGATGATAGATGTGTATGTGTGTTTTCTCGTGTGAGTTTGTGTGTTACGACGTTCACTAACAAGGGAAATAGGGGTATAACTGCAGGTTCGTCTAGACACAAATATTTTCTTTAGATAACTGATATTATATCCCATAAAGAATCGTGTTAATTTCAATAATTCAAGAATATTAGAAAGCATGGAAGTGCTTGCGAGCGAGCGGCGTGCCAGGACAGTCGCGCGAGCGATCGTCACCCAGCCGCCCAGCCCACCGGTCTGGCCGCGGCGGGAGGAGGGCTGCGCCGCCGCCGCACTCGCGCCCTCGCCCTCACTCGCCCTCTCCTCCTCGTGCCCTCTCTCTTGCTCTCTCGCCCTCTCCCCCTCTCCCCCTCGCTAAATCCCTCTCTTGCCCTCTCTCTCTCACCCTTTCTCTCTCTCTCTTCTTCTCTCTCTCTCTCTCTCTCTCTCTCCCTCTCTCTCTCTCTCTCTCTCTCTCTCTCTCTCTCTCTCTCTCTCTCTCTCTCTCTCTCTCTCCCTCTCTCTCCCTCTCCCTCCCCTCTCCCTCTCCTCTCCCTCCTCTCCCTCCCTCCCCCCTCCTCCTCCCTCCCTCCCTCCCTCCTCCTTTCCCTCCATCTCCTTGTCCCCTCTCTCTCTCGCTCCCGTCCCCTCGCGTCCTCACTCTTCACTCTTCCCTCGCTCATTCCTTCCCTCCCTTCCCCTCTCTCTCTCTCTCTATCTCCCTCTCTTTCTCGCACACACACACGCACACATCCCTGCTGACGTCATCCCGAGCCCGACCTCGCGCTGCACACCAGGGTCGCGCTGACCGTCCAACAGCAATGAAAGCAACAGGTTCACTTGGCCGCTGGTCGTGAGCAACACCCTCACTGCCAGCCTGATAAGAGGGTGGCATGCAGCATTCATCACTCGGACGCGAGCATAGTGCACTGCATCATCGCAAACAAGGGATAGTTCAACATCAGTTTGGGGGGGATATGTGGTAATGATTATTGTGCTGTGTGTGTGAGAGAGAGGGGGGGGAGGAGAGAAGAGAGAGAGGAGAGAGAGAGAGAGAGAGGGGGGGGGGAGGGAGGGAGGGAGGTAAAGAGAGAGAGAGAGACGAGCAGTTTATGAAATCGTTTTTTGTTCTGTTGATTATCACGTCTTGTTCCTTCTCTCAGCAGATCTCCGGCTGGACAAGTCCCCCCTCCTGGCCAATGGCTATCACGCTCCGCCACACTTCAACCCTCTCCAGTACATGGCTCACCACATGGCTGGCCTCGGGTACCCGCCGCTGCTACCTGGGGGCATTCCCGGGGGCATGGCCGGGGGCGGGCCTGTGGGGCCGCATCCCTTGTCACCCAGCGAAGCCTCTCCTCTGAAACACCCACAGATTACTCCAGAATCTCTTGCCAAGTAAGTATCAAAACGCTCCGGCTAGTCCTTGATATGGTTATCGTGTTCTGACGTATAATATCCCACTGGTTTGAGAGACAAAGTTGGTTACTGACTAACTTGGACTAAAGTTGCCTTCTGGCGTGCCGCAGGATGCACGAGGAGCGCGTCGACCGCGAGCGCCTCATGGCCCTCGAGCAGAGGCGCGGACTCACGCCCACCAGCATGGCCGGGCCCCACCCTCTCGTACCTACCTCCACCCACGACGACCACCAGCCGCCCACGTCCCCTGTCCTCAACCTGTCTAAAGGCGCCACGCTGGAAGACGCCCACGAGGAGCGGGAGGACGAGCGGGACCAGGACCTCGCCAGCCACGACTCGGGCCGCGACCTGCACGACGAGGACCGGCGCCATCCGCACCACGAGGAGGACCGCCTCTCCGACATGGACGACGACGAGTCCAAGGATGAATGTAAGTGCGAGGCTGCGCGCAAAGCGACTGTAAGCAATAGAAATTAAATTCAATATAAGAAGATTCGTATTTGAAAGAGTATAAAGCAGATTATAGGACGCAGACTAATGAAATGCTCGTTTCTGTTACAGCCATGGACGTCGCTGATGCCTGGACCAGGGCTGCCAGCACCTTAGGCCAGACACAGCTCACATCGCCGCCAGTATCGGCAGGGGCTCCCGTGGCCATGGCAGGGAACGCCCCTCTCTCCTCCACAGAAGTATTACTCAGGAACATCCTTGGCCTCCTGCGAGTGGCCGAGGAAAACGCTCGCCACCACGAGAGACAGACGCAGTACGAGAAAGGTAAGGCAGGAGGAAATCTTTCGTGCTCCGCTGACATCTGTTCTGTCACAGAAGCTGTCGGGTCTTGTTAGGCATTCACCTAATGGGTTGTTGTTCCTCTTGCAGCCGAACTGAAAATGGAAGTCTTACGGGAAAGAGAGCTAAGGGAGACCTTGGAAAAGCAACTGCAGGAAGAACAAAAAAATCGGATACTGATGCAGAAGCGATGTGCGAAGCTGAAGAAGCTGCGGCGTCGCCTGCAGGAGCGCCTTGACATAGAGGTCAAGCGAAGAAGTCACTATGAAGACCATATCCGTTCGAACTCCCCTGACGCCCTCGGGGACATTAACGGTAGGTGTAAGTGTTTCCCGCTTCACAGTTCCTGATCACTATATTCGTGCGGCATTTTGGAAATGGAGAAGGCAAATATGAGGATTGCTGAGCATGATAACGAAGAAAATGACCCTTTTATTCTTTTTCCTTCACCAGACACGATTCGGAAGGAGATGGAGGCGATCGCAGCCGAGATTCAGAACGAGAACCTGCAGCAGCAGAAGCAGCAGCAGACAGAGGAGCGGGAGGCGACCGACCGCCTTCTGGCCTCGCCCGCCCTCGCCAACCACCCTGCCATCGCCGCGGCCACAGCCAACGCTGCATGGCGGTAGAAGAGCATCATCCTCCCTCGCTGGAATTGACCTTGCAGCGGTGGCGCGTCTGCCTCAAGTGAAATGTGTAAATGAAAACCAAAACTTTCTAAGCCAGTTCTCATTTTCTTCAAGCGACCAGATACGTAAGCAAGCGTCTCGAGGCAAACACTAGGTTCACTGGCTTTGTATCCAAGTACAAGTAAATACCTTTTCGAGAATCTGTCAGCGACGAAGCACAAATCTACCTAAGGGTACCAAGTATCACACGATGAAATCCTAAGAGATATTGTTTTGTCTTGGGTACATGGCAATTCTTACTTAACCGTGTATATAGTCTGTTGTAGGGCAGTAGAAAAGTAATATTTGTATCCATAAGATAAGCGTGCACTTGGCACAGGGATCATCAGTGCTGGCGATGTGGTCTATAATAACGTGTAGAGTGAGGAGAGACTCGACCATGCCGTCATCATTCTGGGACACATCACCTCTGCTGATGCTGTTGGTGTCGCCAGCATCACGTCTACCTCAGCATTGTGAGTGCTGAGTAGAAGACCAGTAAATGACCTCGCCAGTAGAACGGTCGCCTCTACTTCGTTCATACAACAGGTACCCTTTCCGCCCCGAATCGCTCCCCTTTCCTATATGTCGATTCTGTTCTCCAGTTTCTCCCGAGGAGTCACACGCAGGTCCTTGGAGAGTTTCCTTGGGGACAGATGTTCTAAATTGGGTTCCACGAGACACTCGTAAAAGCAACAGCGAGTTTGCGACGTGCCCGCGAGGTGTCCGTGTTGACGCCCGTTTAAGTATGTCGTAAAATCGCCAAACAGCGAACGTCTGACCCGAGAGGCCCAAGAGTACCTCCTCCGTGAGGCAGGTAACACAGCAAGGAGTGGTGGCGGCTGGCGACGCAGGGCGAGACTCCACGCCGAGGGCGCCCCAGCCGGGGGTTCCTACGCCTCCTGGCTGCCCGCTCTCTCCTTGCCGTCCGTGTCCTGTTCAGCCTGTCGAGCGCATAAGCATGGCTGCGGTCCATGGGATTCGAAACGTTACAAATAAGATTTTTATAATATTTAAAATGTATTTATTGTCTATTTTGGATGTAGTCTCAGGGCGTTGATTGAGCGTCGGGCTGTTAGAGTCACACTATAACTATTGGGCTTGAACTTGCTCGTGGAATTCTGAGATGTATCGATTTCTATTTATTGAAATAAATGGTTCATATTGTGTCTGGAAGGACAAGTTAGGGTGATTGTACCTCCTGGCCTCTCTTACTAGTTATGTAAGCGTTCACGTGAACTATGTATCCAGCATATTGTTAGAGACAAATGTGTACATACCTGGCAGGACCTTCACTGTGAACTCCACTGTATCCACGGGGGCCAGGGACCTTCTTTTGTAATGCCTGACATATCAGAAACGTTCCCAGCAGGTTCAGGAAGGGGAAACAGTTCTAGCAATGTTCAAACTATGTGGTTAGATTTGTTTCTATTTTGTCACCGACTCGTCTGATGTTGACGCTTTACGTCTGTAAGCCTGCTTATGCCGCGGCATAAACAGGTTCTACGAGCACTGTATTAAAAGCTAATTCTAAATTTAGAAATTTGTAAGATTTTGTACATAAAATACGTAGTTAAGGGCATTAATCCGATATTAGTCATAGGTTGCGTAGTCATAGTATTATTAAGTAAATCGCTTGGACATCTGGCATGAACCGTGAAAGAGTGCCAATGACAACATGCTTTGATAGTACCTATGATAGTACATACGTGTAGAAATAGTACATACTAGGCAGATGTATTATTACCTAGAACTGCTGCACTCTAGAGGGACCAGACTCACGCTCCCGGGAGAGAGAGCGCGGGCGCCCGCCACGCCGGCTCGGCTCAGTCCGGAGAAAGATACAATTGTATTACACTTGACTCTGTATAAGCGACATATATATTTGTGTGTGCACACACACATATATATGTGTGTGTGTGCACACAGCTATATGTGTGTGCGTGTGTGTGTCAGTCTGTCCACCTTTCGACCTCTCTCACTCTCTCTTTCTATATATGTGTGTTTGTGATTGTGTGTGTGTGTGTGTGTGCGTGCGTGTGTGCCTGTGTTTACATCTGCAGTAAATATACATATATATGCTGTACACATATATGCATTTCTAAACGGACACGCACACGCACACACTTGTATACCTACAAATGCAATGTCGATGTGATAGGGCGCCCAGGTCCCCGGCGGTGCGCGCCCGCAGCCGCACCGCCGGCGAGCTGCGGCGCCGGTCCAGCTGAGGTGCAGCGCGGGGGCGCGGCGGCGCGGGAGAGGCCGCCACTAGATCGCCCTTTCCGCCTAGACCAACTCCTGACAAATACTGCATTTAGTATCCATGCCTTGTACTGTATGTAACAAAAGTAACATTGTTGTATCCTATACGAAAATGAGTGTTTCTCTAATTTTTATGTTGTTTCACTAAATAAAGCAATAACTTGCATAATAGTGTGTGTTTTCAACCTTTGAACGAAACAACCGTCGAGGACGAGAGAGTTTTCTTCGTGAATCGAGAAGGGAAGGCAGGCCCTGGGGGGCCAGTTGCCCTGCTGTGGAAAAGAGGTGATTAGAGGAAATGGGTTTTCCACTGGGACACACGTCTGGGATTTCTTTGAATGAAGAAAATTGAATTACGAACGAAACTCAATCAGTTTTGTTTGTCAGTTTAAATCTGATAAAAATGATTCATACAAAGGATTATGCAGTATCGCCATACGGCATTACCATACTCAGTACACAGTGATTAACTAAGTACATATTGCAAAATGTCACATGAATTGTCATAATCTGAAGTTCCCAATGATTTTCCAACATGAAGTAGATACATGCGCCAGAAATACGGCTGGACCAGAGCAGCAAGGCTTATAAACAATTACACAAATCAAATAACTGCCAGTTTCAGCTTGCCGCCCACCGAGGACCCTCTTGCCATGCTAAAAAGATCGGTTGATTCATTCCCTCTTGACCCAGAGTTTCGCAAGGCCGGAGGGAAATTCACGAATATTCAAAGGCCGGCGCTGCTTAGGCCTTCTCGCCCTCGCCTTCGGGAACATTAACATGCATGACCACATTAGCGAGGCTCCGGCTGCCACCACGCCGCAGGAGAACAAGGCCACTCGAGTTTTCTTCACTTCATGACTGATAGAAGCCTTTCGTGATCACCGGCTACTTCTATTCTATTTCTGACACTTCCATTGGATCTTTGAGATGGATTTTCGGGGGACTTTCCGGCATTCAGGAAGTCAATATTGTCAATTATGTTGCACTGCAAGATCAGGAAAGAAAAAGAGTTTGACACAAAAGCGGGGCAAACATACATCCACCAAGTTTGTCTCAGAAAATTTGAAGACTATTTCAGTTATCAAGATCACTGCCAATTCCTGTCTTTGCACGATTTCTAAGACTAAATCATATGCTCATTCAATTTACATATCATTTTGAGCCTTATTTCACTATAAACATCTACATTCTATAGATGGACAGGAACTGTTGTCGATTTTCTCATTGAATCTACATTTAGAATTAATTTCAAATGCATGCGGGAGAAACCTGTTTTTCTCTCTGATGAAAAAGGGCTTGCACCGAATTGGACGTGGATCAAGAACCTCAATTTTGTAAGCCTCATAAGAAAGAGAAATGTTCGTGCTAGTGTGTCTCTCTCTCTCTCTCTCTCTCTCTCTCTCTCTCTCTCTCTCTCTCTCTCTCTCTCTCTCTCTCTCTCTCTCTCCTCTCTCTCTCTCTCTCTCTCCTCTCTCTCTCTCTCTCTCTCTCTCTCTCTCTCTCTCTCTCTCTCTCTCTCTCTTCTCTCTCCTCTCTCTCTCTCTCTCTCTCTCTCTCTCTCTCTTTCCTCTCTCTCTCTCTCTCTCTCGCTCTCTCTCTCTCTCTCTCTCTCTCTCTTTCCTCTCTCTCCTCTCTTTCTCTCTCTCTCTCTCTCTCTCTCTCTCTCTCTCTCTCTCTCTCTTCTCTCTCTCTCTCTCTCTCTCTTTTCTCTCTCTCTCTCTCCTCTCTCTCTCCTCTCTCTCTCTCTCTCTCTCTCTCTCTCTCTCTCTCTCTCTCTCCTCTCTCTCTCTCTCTCTCTCCCTTCTCTCTCTCTCCTTCTCTCTCTCCTCTCTTCTCTCTCTCTCTCTCTCTCTCTCTCTCTCTCTCTCTCTCTCTCTCTCTCTCTCTCTCTCTCTCTCTCTCTCTCTCTCTCTCTCTCTCTCTCTCTCTCTCTCTCTCTCTCTCTCTCTTCTCTCTCTTCTCTCTCTCTCTCTCTTCTTCTCTCTCTCCTCTCTCTCTCTCTCTCTCTCTCTCTCTTTTCTCTCTCTCTCTCTCTCTCTCTCTCTCCTCTCTCTCTCTTCTCCTCTCTCCTCTCTCTCTCTCATCTTTCTCTCCTCTCTCCTACTCTCTCCTTCTCGCTCTCTCTCTCTCTCTTTCCTCTCTCTCTTCTCTCTCTCTCTCTCTCTCTCTCTCTCTCTCTTCTCTCTCTCTCTCTCTCTCTCTCTCTCTTCTCTCATCTCTCTCTCTTCTCTTTCCTTCTCCTCGTATCTCTTTCTTCCTCTCTCTCTCTCTCTTTCCTCTCTCTCTCTCTCTTTCTC